CCTTGAACTCATGGCAATCCTCCTGCCTGAGCCTCAGTGCTGGGATTGTAGGTGTGTGGAATTTACATAAAGCACAAAATCTAGCACATAGTAGGTGGTTATAATAAAATTTACCAATTATCTCCCTCTTTAGGCTTTTGTTAATAGAAACATCAGAGCCAAATTGGAATTTAGAAGTTCCCAGCCTGCATATTTTGATTCAATTATTATATAATAAAATTGTGCAATTACATTTTAACGTATCCTTTTCTCAATCTTGCTGTTTTTATTTTCCCAATTCTTATTGTTTATTTACCTTTCATTTTATTACAAGTGCTTTTATTGAGGATTTCCTCAAAGTCTTTGCAGAACTAGGTGGATAGACTCTGATTTCAGGAAAAATGGGTCTTTAAGACTTGTCATATGCCTGGGGAAGCTGGATCTTGATGACTGCTTGAACCCCAGTTCCCTTATTGGTAGAACGAAGGTAATAATAAACCTACAAATTACCTTATGGCCCCAGAATAAGAACCTATCCTGAGTAGTTTGTAGAAGGACTTTACAAATTGTGAAAACTTACAAACATAAATGTTTGTATTATACATAAACTATGCCCCAAACTTTTTAAGAACCCCTCTCTTTTCTTGATCCTACAACTCATACACAGGACCAGGCAGGTACAGAGTTCTGAGAAGATGGTCATGGAATTGCACGTCCAATGTCTCTGCCATGCCTCTTCTCCTGACTAAGCAGAAGACCTGAAAGTATATGCTGATCCTTAGAAATGAGTTGTCTTTGCCCATCAGATATGGGAAGATTCAACAGAATAAAAGCACAAAAATGAATACAGAATTAGCTAATGAAACACAAAGAACATGTGAGTCTGCCAAATGCTGTAGGAAAAGGGTAGACCTCCAAGCCCCAAGGTCACAGGAATTCAACAGGAATTTTTTGATACGTTTTTGTTTGGATTGAAAATGAAGAATGAGAAGATGACGTATGAATCCAAGAGATAAAGAAGAAGACTTAAGTATGGATATGTAAACAGAGCACCAGTAGAAAGACTCAGAAAACAATCCCAGCGAGCAAAATATCACAGAAAAAGAATAACAAGTATACAGGGCAGTAAGATCAAAATCAGATTACTTAATAAAAGCTAGTGTTTAAATGGAAAACAATGTACATTGTTTATCCTTGAAATGTGACACGCAGTGCTTTTTTTTAGAATGCCAAAGCACTCCACAGCAATAGCCCATATCTGACAAAGCCCCGTCACCCTTGAATCCCAGAGGTCATTGTTTCTATACAATAATGGGAGGCTTGATTTAATAGATGTCACTGAATTTCGCAGTCACATGGAATCGAAAGCCCCAGAAAATAAACCTATATAGGAAAAGGCAGAATTTGAATTAGGCAAGGACCCACCTATTCAATAATGAAATAATTGCTCAAGGCACGTTCTTCTGTAATCTTTTTTGAAGTGACAACTATTTTGGGGCCCTACTTCTCTCTCTGCTGCCTCAAAATTTGCACATAATCTCAGGGCCTCTTAAAGACGCCAATTTGGAAGCCAGACAGTCACTTCCTTAATGTCACAAAAATAGATTCAATTTTATACACATCAGGGTGATTTCAGAAGCAATCTCTACATCTTCGGTGTAAGCATTACTTACATTTTTTCCCCCTTCAAATCTAATCCAAGTCATTCCATAAGGCATTTTAAAAGGTACCTGATACATTTTAGGGCATTCAAAAAGAAAAAGATCCCCAGAGTGTGTTTATAGCTGCAGCCTGAAGATATCAGATATACAGAAAGAGCGCTAAAATATACTGTGATTCAAAGAAATGCAAAATTTTACAATAACTGAGAATAATAAGTCAAATAAAAGTTCTGTGCCCTTTAAAAAGTTGTATCATTAAAATGAATGCATATGTAAATATATGTGTGTTTATATGTCTCTGTATTTACACACAGACACGTACACATGTCTATGTGTTTATACATCTGTATGTACATGTTTGTGTATGTCTATGTATGTTATAAACACACACATATGCACATATACAATCATTTGCATCTGGCTTTTAAAATATCTAATTACATTCCATTGGATATTATTCCTCTTCCATTCTAGTTAGCAAATCTGTCTTGTTCATTTTCATCTTAAGGGTCTATATTTTGGGCCTTGATGAAAAATGTGGTGACATTTCCTTTTGAAGCCCAAGATATCAGAGTTGCTCCGGTTGTTTTCATGTGTGATCAGAAGGCTTGAGACCAAATATTTCTGCTTTTAGGATCATAATGATTGCCATGTATCTTTGACTATAACTTTTTGGCATTCAAAGTTCTCCTAAGACATATTTATAAAAGGAAAAAAGTATTCCCAAGAGGCTGGCCTGTACAAGAAAGGTTTGGCATGCACAGGTACTACTTGGCTAGTATTTTCAATCAACTCTTCCTGCAAATGAACTTCTCTATCCTGGGATCTAAAGGAGGAGAGCCAGTGACTATGCAGGGCTACCAAAGGCCCTGAGGGCTCAGGATAGTTCTCTGTTCAAAGAGTAGCCAAGGCCATTTCCTGAGTGTCTTCTCCCTCTGGCCTATATCACCACCCCCTTTCCTGGCTCTGGGAAATGCATGGATTTCCGTGATTCAATTATTGAGACAGAATCCTTCAGAATAGAATGGCTACATAGTCAAGCAGGCCACAGATTTTTCTCTGATTGCCAAGAAAAAGTTAAATATTACTCCCCCAAATAATCAGTAGACTTTGTCTTTATCCCATTTCCTATCTTCCCACCTAAGAATACCCACCAGAGCAAGTTTTTATACTTATCAAGAACAGTTTATATATTACATATAGAAAATTTTTATATATTGAGAAAAGTTTTGTGTTTTAGTTTTACATTGAAAAGCAGTCAGATCTGCTTCAGCCTCAAAGAGTGCATTTATGTAAAATTAAATGAATGCTCCCAGATAACTGCACTTTTTTCTCTAAATGGGAAATAGGTTAAAAGCCATTACCCAATCTTAAGGAGTTCTCAAACTGAGCAACAGAATAATGGGCAAAGCAGATATCATGTGTCTATTGACATAGTGCAAAGGGAAATATACAACATTATCTTTGTGATATTTTTGTCAAATTGTTTAACCCGAATATAATCATGATGGGAAAAATATCAGACAAGTCTGGGTTGTGAACCATCCTATGGAACAACTAATGGCCCTAGATTTTGAAGAAAAAAAAAAAAGTCAGTCAGTATCCTGAAAAAAAGTGAAGTTTACATTTTTGGCTGTTTTGTATAAAAGGAGATAAAGAGACAAGAAAACCAAACATGAGCACCTTGGTTTGAATCCTGAATTACAGTACAGAAACCGTGCAGCAACCTTTGGGGGATATTGAAGGAATTGGGCTGTGGACTGCAGTATCAGATATCATTAAATCTAGGTTGCATTTCTTGGGTAAGATATTAATTCTATTGTGGCTGTGTTGAAGAGTTGTCCTAGTTCTTTGGGAACACACGCTGAATTCGCAGGAGGTAGAATGTCAAATATCTGCAACTTAACCTCTAAATGGTTCATAAGATTGTGTATACAGTGAGAAAAAGAGGAAAAGTGTATGTGTTGCAAAATGTTAACTGGTGAATACAGGTGAAGGATACGCAAGTATTCAGTTTTCTTTTTCTCAGCTTTCTTGGAGGTTTAAACTAATCTCTCTTCCCAAAGATAGTCCATGAACATTTGAAAATAACCTCCCTTAAATGCCTGTATTCTTAGCTGGTATAGCTGGAGGATTTATCTGAATGACTACAAAACTGTCAGTCCTTTTCCTCCTTCTCAACTCTAAGGAGATTTTGACTCTATAGATAAGGGTGGAGCCCAGATATATGTATTTTGAAAACTTCTCAAATGGGTTCTGTGTTGCATGTGAGCTTAGGAATCACGGGCCTGAGTTATTCTTAGACCCTGGAACTGGGGTCAGGAATGAGTTGTATGTCTCTGTGAAGTTGAACCAAACATACTCAGTTCTGGATACGTTACCTATGATGGGAAGAATAATGCTAAATATCTCACAGGACTACAGCAAGAACAACATCAAAGATAGTGTCTGCAGTGTAGAAGGCGGCAAACAAATGTTTCCTGTTTTTCTTCATCTCATAGATCCACGTCATCCTAGATGGACCACACACAGTAGTTTTTATGAAATGCCATTTCTTCCATTTGCAATTTACATAATGTATGAAGGAAATTTGTCTGTGATCATATTCTTTTAGATTTCCTGCATTCCACAGTTTGAAAGCTGGAAAAGCTGTCTTGAGTCTGACCATTAACTTAGCCTTACAGTTTACCAGCCTCTGAGTTCTCCTTTGGATGAAGTCATAAACCCTGATATTAGCTTGGAATATACTATCTACACAAAGTAGGTAGGATTCCAAGACTGGTAATGTTGACTAAATGTTGTGTGGAATGTTGGCTGTGGCTTGGAGCTGGCCAAGGCTTGGAAGGTATGGTTTTCAATCTGCACATGTAATTCATCAGCCGCAAGACTTTGGCAAGGTTATTCCTCTGAGCCTCAGTTTCCCAAGCACTCAAAATAGAGATAGTAATAATTCATGACTCATCCATCTCCCATGATATATGTGAAACAGTTTTGCACAAGTGAGTCACAAATTATTATTATCTCCATTTTGAGTGCAGCATATTTTTCTCCTTAAGGGCATACTCCTTCTTTTAATAAAATTGCTTTCTAAACTCTATTATTAGTTTTAACCTATTTCTCTTTGAGCCACAAGCAGTTAGAATGACTTGCTCCCATTTTTATCTGCTTAAACACCCCCTTTTCACCTTTGGATTGGTTGCCCCAAGGCTCAGCCAGGGAGAACCTGCATTCTGGACCATCCCATGGAAGCATCCCAACCCTTTACCTTCCAGCACCTGACCACTGTGAAGGTCCCACAGCACAGGTGTCAAGGTCAAGCTGGAGCAAAGCTATCTCTTCCCCTTAGTTGACTCAACTTACTAAATCCATTAGCATCCTGGGAACTAGAGGAGAAGCCTTCATCGTTGCGGCTGGAGCTGAGCTTGGTGGTGGGTTTGTCAGCTGAGGCCACAGGTCCCATCTCCCTTTGGGCTCCACTCTGTGTCTCCTTCTGCTTCTTGGCCAGCTTCCTTTGGGACATGTGCAAGGGAAAAAAATCACAGTCAGATGGTGCCAGTTGCATTAAATCATTGGGAAGATTGATTACTCCCCTTCCAACTCCTCATCCTCAATCCCCACACTTCGTTAATTCTCCAGGAGTAGTTCACAAGCCCTCCAATGTCAGGATAGAGTAAACCCAAATCTTCTTGAAACCATTGATGGAGTCCTTTCACTAGGAACTGTGAGACTCATGGTGCCTCATTCCCAATATAGGGATATTCTGTACTTGAGATTAAAACAGGAAATTGATGAGATGTTACGATGTTTCTCCAACTCTCCTTTCAAAGGAAGGAAGCATTGAGGCTAGTCCTTCTGTTCTCATGTCTCTGAATACAATGGAAAATAGAGTCCAATTATTACCAATTAAAAATAGAGTCCAATAATTTACCAATTATTGGTAAAATGAAGTAGGGGCTGGTGGTTAGCGGTGGGGTGGTGGTAGAGGTTAGTCTTATAGCTCAAAGGGGAAAAGCTAAAGCTGAACTTGATGTATAGATAGCTGTTTCCATGAGAATCATACATCCTCAGACCCAGATGGTCACTTATAATAACAGTGAAGAATACTAGTTCTCAAACTTTGGCATAGATTTGAATCAGTTGAAGAGTTAAAAAAGCATCCACATGCCCAGGATCATGGAAGTAGAACTGGTGATTTTGACACCAACCAATGAGGTTAAAATTATCAGCTTTGGCATCAGACAGATGTGGGTTCATGCCCTACCTCTGTTGTCTGCCAGCTGTATGACCTGGTGAAAGGTCATTAATCTCTCTAGGTTCTCAAATCTTTTTGTGTACACTCTGGTAAATAATAGGACCAACTGCATAGGTTTGTGAGAATTAAGGATAATACATGAAATACAGAGCACAGTGCCTGTCAATGAATAAACATTCAACACATGTCAATTACTATTCTTGTTATTAGACCATTGCCAAGTGATCCAACTACATTCTAATGCATGAACTCCCTCTTCAGTGGCCCTAAAGTAGAGTCTTGCCTTTCCCTGAATTATATCAAGGTGTAGAGACTTTGATTGCTCTTCAGGGAACTGAAAGGTTAAAGAGTTCTTCTTTTATGGATTTGAAATCTCCTTCCCTTAAATTTTAACTCATAGATCTTAGATATTTCATTAGAGATATAACAATAGGAGTAACATTTCTTGCACCTAATATGTTTTCAAATGTTTCTAAAAAGCAAACATGAGCCCTCTGGGTTTTCCCAACATATATCCATCTGAATACTCATTTTATGTTCCTATCACAAAGAAATACAGGTTAAATATTACATATCTTGAGGATAAATTTTCTTCAGGTTTCTTGTTTCATTCTTCACAGGTCCTGGCTTCTAATTCAATCTTGGCTATTTCTAGCTCAACACAGAAAGGATTGATGTCCCAGGGAGGACATCAATGCAATTGAAGGAATAATTTTCTTAATTTGAACCTATCTAATGATAAAATAGGCCATTCAAGAGGTAATAAACTTCTTGCCAGAGGAGTTATTTAAAAAAGGATAAACCTAAACACAGAAGTATTTTAGAGTTTATCTATGACCAATTCCAGTTTGATAACATCCTCTTTAAAACACGAGTCCTATGACAGAGGTACAGACTGCACAGAAGGCCAAATGGCATGCTCACATGAGGATGATTTCAATCCTATTATAAAAGGAATATTTATAAAAAGACTAGTGAGGGGCTGGGGATTTAGCTCAGCGGCAAAAGCGCCTGCCTGGCAAGCGCAAGGTCGTGAGTTCGGTTCCCGGTACCGGAGAAAAACCAAA